TTACTCAAAGAAAGAAGAGCAATCATCATTAAACAGATTCTATTGAAAATTTGTTTCAATTCAAAAGAGGCATATGCATTTCACAGAGTGGTGAAAAATGGAGCAAATCAGCTCGTATTCAGCTGGAAACCCAGCAGCCTGGGCATCATCCCCTCCTCCACAGAGACTCTTTGTCTGCTTTGTGATGGAGCTGAACTACACGTGTTCCCTTCCTCGTCAAAACGCATGGTTCTAATATAGTAAGCTTTTCATTCTCAAAAGGAATGTCTTAATATCTGTCAGGGTTAGCAACCACATCCTCCTTGACACAATTATTTGGTCAATGTTTGCCTCTCCCTTGATGGCAACAGGCACTATGCTGTTTTGCTTAACAGTGTATCCACAGGGAGGGGCATTATAGTTGATGCCTGAATATGCAGCATGTTAGAAAACGTGGCAAGTCAGAGAGAAACAATAAAAGAGAGGGCTATCAAAGTGGAAGTAAACTATGGCCTTTTCAAACAAGTCTAAATATAAGCTACAAGGACAGTTGTTCATACTAAGGCCACTTAAAGCCATTTTGGTAACGGACTCAGAACCAGCTTGTTGAGGAAATTACCATTTAGATTGCTTCACTTAAGAAAAGTACTGTGGTATCATCACTGTTTGTTCTACATATGAATAAATTCCTGGAGTTCTGGATTTTTAGATGGTGAAGAAGCTTAAAGTATCTTTTTTTATCCCATTAAGTTTATTGGTACATTTTAGGTACACTATTCAGTTACATTCATCATTAGGACCTTGTACCTTTACATGACCTATCTTGGTTATTTTTTTCTCATTCCCCTACCCTCCCTTCACCCTCCCCTATTTACAAAGACTTCGTTTCCATATTTTCTTTTTTTCATATTTTTCCCTACTTTCGTTTCCTCTTCCCCTCCCACTTCCCCTACTCCTTTAGACGTTTTCTTCCTATTTCACAATATCAATTATACACAAAATTTGGTTATTTAGACCTCATTCCTATCCCACTTCTAGGCCTGAATCTTTGGCAACCATAAGATAAAAATAATTTTGTCTTTTCGGTAATGAGAATTGAACCCAGGGCCTCTGCACTGAGCTACATTCCCAGCCCTTGTACTATTTTTTTAAGAGACAGTCTTGCTAAATTGTCCAGGCTGGGCTTGAATTTGCACTCATCTTGTCTCAGCCTCCGAGAGTGCTGGGATTACAGACATGAGCCACCACACCCAGCTCCACAAAATTTTATAAGAAAAACATTTGCGCCAAGGGGCAGATATACCAAACCAAACACTGACTGAATATAAATTTCATATTTGACACATGGGAAAGTGGCGCTCAGTCAAACATCCTCCTCCTAGCATGACTCCTCTTCGGCCATTTCTCCAGTTCTTTTTGGTGATCTCTAGATTTCTATTACATCTTTTTAAGAGACTGAAATTTTATGAAACTTCCCCACATCTGGGCCAACAATGAGCTGCATATTACTCTCGTCACCGGCATTTCTAAGGGAGGCCAGTGTGATTTAAATTTCAGAAGTTTAATAAAATAAATAAATTTCAGAAGCTTGCATTATTTTTTTAAAATGACCTTAGGTAACTGACACTGAGATTCTGCTTATCTGTCTCATATCACGGGTATTTGAGTTGCCTGGGTTCATACCCAGATTAACGCAACGTTTTGTCTCCAGGATACTTCACTCCACAAAACTTTTTTTCCCTGCAATTTAGTCAATCTCAGGTTGACTGAATTAGTCAATCCTAGGTTCTCAGAGCAGGTGACTGCAGTCCTGAGGTGATCTGAATGTCCTTGGAAAGCATCGTCCTAGTCTAAACACCAGGTGATAAAAATTCTTCCACTAGGAGAGCCATTCTTTCTTCCGGTTGAAAGCAGCACTTTTTCGGCGTTTCTCACATTTAAGGAAGGAAGTCACAAGCACAGAAAATCCCGTGAGAACGTTCTTCAAGAGATTATCTAGCGATCAGGTGAGGACCAGGGCGAGTCTGCCAGCGCTCCTGACCTTGGGGGGTGAGGACGGCACGCTGAAGACACAGTGCCAGGGACCATGGACGAGGACAAACTTCTTTTTTAATCCGCTACTGGGCTTCGGGTCGCGGGGCGTGTCTTGGTTTCGGCGTGAAGATGCGGTGGCTGCTTCTCTGCGCTCCCGCACACGTGTGCCCCTTCTTCCGCAGCGCCCCCTCGGATCCCCGACTCCTCCCCGCCCCCGCTGTCAGCCCGCAGCCCTCGGGGCGACGACAGCTGAAGGCTCCGCGCTCGCCCTCGGTGTCACCCTTCAGTTTCCTCCGCCGCCAAGGCTCGGTCACCTCTGCATAAATAACCGGAGCCCAGAACCTAAATGAAACAAACCAGCCAGCACTCCCCTCGCCTCCCCTCCAGCGACCAGCAGTCTCACTCCAGCCGCACGCTCAACGCTCGCGGACGGATTCCGACCACCGAGCAG